AGCTTTAACAATAATAGCATTTGCCTACATATAGAATATTAAAATGATTCATGAGTAAAACTGTTTATACTTTCATGACTGCTAAAAATTATTCCTATGCTTTGAAGTCTTGCTGCCTCATGAACAGATAACATGTGTGATAGGATTTCATTAAGATTAGGATAAGAGATAGTTCCAAGAGGTTCAAGCTCGCCTGATATATAACAAATATTAATAATGCCAAATTTACATCCTAGTTGATATTTTTCGCCAATTATATCAACTACTTTGCAAGAAAGCGTAGAACGATCAATGCCAAATCGATCGATTTTGGGAACAGTTATTCGCACAAGATCACCAACGTGATAATCAACGATTTTTCTTTTTTTTGTTATTTGATTTACCATCTTTTCAGTGTAAAGCTGAAGATCTCATCATGCTGCGCTTCGTAATAATTCATGTGAAGTATTTGTAATATTTTTAAGAACCGAATTGTTTTCTATTAGCATGACAATTTTAGGATTAATAAATTTTTTGAGAATAATAAAAAATTTATCATTATGCATGTTAAATAATATTATAAACTTGCCTGAGCGTGAAATACTGTCATTAACCGGTTGAGATTCTGGAATTTTACCCAAAATAGAAATATAAATTAGTAATAAAAAAAAAATAAATAACACAGTAATGAACTTGTCTAAAATGCTACTACTATTATCCGGCTACTAGCGTGGGCTTTTTCCTAAATAGAAATATTTAAATTATTTAAGTTAAATATTGATATTGATATAGAAAAAAAAAATTTAATTTGCTTACCATCTGGCTTCCGATGTGGGTTTTTACCTAAAAATAGAAACATAAGTAACATAAATTAACTAAGTAAAAAGGAAAAGCAGCAATAAGAACTTGCCACCATAATTTTTTAAATGCCATTGTGGGGCTTATAAAAATAAAAATAAAATAATATAAACTTACTTAAAGATCCACTACTTTCATCTAATCGTGAACGTGAAGGTTCTAAGCTTTCATCTGAAAATAAAGAATTTTTAAGTTTGTAAAAAAAAAAAAAAAGATATCAATGTAGTAATATAAACTTACTCAAAGATCCGTTGCCACCTTTATCTAATCGCAAACATAAGGGTTCTGAGATTTCATCTAAAAATAAAATTTTTTGTAAACAAAAAAAAAAACAAAAATTATATGTAGTAATATGGACTTACCCAAAGGTTCGCTACCATTATCCAATCGCAAACGTGAAGATTTCAAACTTTCATCTAAAAATAAACATTTAGGTTTGTAAAAAAAATAAAATAAATAAAAAATAAAAATAAATATATAGTAATATGACTGACTTATAGAGCCACCACTATTATCCAATTGCCATTGCGAAGGTACTGAGCTTGTATCTAAGAATAGGAATATTATTAAATGACACTGTAATAAAATTGAACTTATTAAACTAATCAGTAGTATGAACTTACTCGTAAAGCCACCAATATTGTCCAGTTGCCGTTGCGAAGGTACTGAGTTTGTATCTAAGAATAGAGATATTATTAAATGACACTAATAAAATTAAACTGTATTAAACTAATCAGTAATATGAACTTACTCATAGCAATAGGGCCGCCACTATTGTCTAGTTGCCATTGCGAAGTTCCTGAGCTTGTATCTAAGAATAGGAATATTAGTAAATGAAATTGAACTATACTAAACTAATTAATAATCTGAACTTACTCATAGTGATAGAGCTGCCGCTATTGTCCAGTTGCCGTTGCAAAGTTTCTGAGCTTATATCTAAAAATAGTGATATTAGTAAATGATACTATAATAAATTAAACTGTATTAAACTAATTACCTGAAATATTATCATTACAAACTAATTGATCATATAGTTTTGAGTTTTTATCTATAAATTTAAATATAAGTTAATAGTAAGTAATAAGATAAATTGTACCAATTGTAAACTTCTGAACTTACCTAAAGTATTGTTACCACTGTTTATTTGTTGCTCCAGGCTTTTATCTACGAATCTAAAATGTAAGCTAATAGCAAAAATAGTATGAATAGATCGTATCAAATATAAACTTACCCAAAATATAAGCATCATATCAATGATATGAAAGCCTATGCTTTTATCTATTAAAATATAAGTTAGCGGTAATAAGAATAAAATATTGTAAAATATATTAACTTACCCGAAGTATTATCGCC